CTGCCCGAGGGCGGCTGCCCAGCCCCAGCGAGAGCTCCGCGATCCGCGGGGAGGGACGGGTGCCAGGCAGACAAGCAATTAGCTCCAGTTCTCGGAAGTACTCTTTTAGACCCTGACTTTTCTCCTCTTGCCCAGAGACAAGTAATTGTGTGTCTCAGCGGGGCTGAGCAGCTCTTGGCAGGGAGCAATGCCCCGGGCGTTCCAGAGGCAGAGGCAGGGAGGTGGTTGGGAGAGATCAGGACTTATTCCTAAAGGGAGGGAGCGGGGCAAAACCCTCAGCGGAGCAGGGAGAGGGACCAAGGACCACGGGGTTCCTGGCTGGTCACAGGCCAGAGAGGGAGAAGGATTTTGCAGAGGTTAGAGTGGGACCTAGGCTCACCCCAAGAAGCTCTGCTAAGCAGATTGATAAGCTGGAGGAACAACGTGCTTTTCTCTTGGCCAGGACCAAGCGTAAGCCCACAACTCCCAGGCAACTCAACTGCACTGCTGCCGGCAGGGCAATCCAGCGCTGCCGAGCCAAAGGCTTCACCGCCGCCCTGCAAAGCCACTCACACACCCTCGTCCGCTGCACACCGGGAGTGGAGGTGTCTCGGAGCAACGCGGCAGGCAGCAGGGCTTACCTTGCTCCACAGCCTCCTGCAGCCGTGAGCTGCTGGCCCCCGGCGTTGCGGGCAGTGGTCGCTGCACTCGGGGCCGGTGAGAAGGGACAGAGATCTTCACAGGCCCCACGTACTCCACGTACGTGCCAGGAAAGTCGCCCTTCTGCTTGGTCCGCTCGTTGACGCCCAGGATCCATCCGATCTGATTGGGGGTCTGCTCATCACCATCTTTGAAGCCCAAGGCTTGCAGGGCCCCCTTGCTCACCACCAGGATGTCCCCAGGCAGCAGATCAATGTCCTCCTCGCGCTCCTTGCGGTAGGGGTAGAGCGCGCGGTACTGGAACCCATCGGTGCTGCCCATTCTCTCTGCCGCGGGGAGAACGGCTCTGAACGGCGAGGCAGCACGTTTCGGGCGGGAGAGGAGGGACTCCAGACGCAGCTCTCCCCCATCAGCACTCTGAACGTCTCTGCGTGAACCAGCACCTCAGGAGCCTGGTCTGGGTGCCCCGGCGCGCTTAGGTGCAGCCCCTTTTCCTTAGCTTGAAACCACGATTCAGCCAAATTATGGAGCAAAGGGAGAAGGAGACAAACATAATCCAGCACTGGTGAGCGGGCATGCAGCAAAGAAACAGGAGATCAGGGTCCGCCTCACCAAAAAAGAAGCAGGTTTCTTGGAGTCCGGGGGGCAAAAGCACGGCGCGCTTCCAGCCCAGAACGGCGTGGCATGCTACGTCTCCCTTTTCAGTGCCTGCAAAGAGAAGACGACTTGTCACTGCACAGCCAGGCACCCCGCACCCTCCCGAGGCACCAACATTCAAACTAGGGGTTCATCTGAGCAGCTGAGAGAGGCAGGACTCGTTTCTCTCCTACCTGCCAGCTGATGCTGAGCCCTGGATCCAACCAGGACATGCTCATACCAATTTTACACTCCCAAAAGCAAAAGAGCAGCCAGCGGCTGCGGGCAGGCATGGCACCTCCTCTCTAGGCACCAGCTCTGCATCTTAAAGAGGTTCACTCCTGTTTCTTCAGCTTACCCTCCTCGCAGCACTTATGCAAACAAGAAGACAACAAGTAGGACAAAACAGCCTTTATGCAGGAACTTTTGCATACAGAAAAGGGTGACCCTGCAACCACCAGCTGGAGGCCCTGAATAGGAGCAAAACAAACAGATTTAACCTCTCCTTGTTAAATCGATTAAATTTCACAGTTCACCTTTACATCTCCCCGTGCAATCCCCCACAAAGTCATTTTCTGAAGGCAGCTGCCCACAAATGTAGGTTAACCAAGCTTTCAGCGAAAGGCTTTCGAGATGCTTTGCCATTCCCACAGAGCAGCACTTCAAAGCTTTGCTCTGAGCAAAGTAAATTTTTGAACTTTTCAAAAGCAGCAACAGCATCAAGTGCAGACTCGGGTTCTTTTCGCAGAGATGGAGGTGAGAGGAGTTAAAATAATCTTTAGAAGCCTTCAAGTCTACTTAGAGCTGCTAACTGCCTTTCAGCTATTCAGAGAGAAGTTGAAGAATACGCTGCCTGCCCTGCCCAGAAATCCACCAAAAAGAATAAACCTGGGTTATAACATGTTGCTGAAGGGATGCATGAGCTGGGGCATTCCCACCAGCCGAGCACGTCCTCTTTTCCCATCCCCTCCTGGCCACACGGGCCAGTTTTCTACCTCCCCCAGGCAAGTCTCAGCGTTCCCGTTCCCGCAGCCACGGCATGCAACCAAGGACCAGACCTACAAGGCACCGCGGCAGCCAGAAACCAGCCTTCCCAGGGACACCCTAGGCCTGTTGAAACGCTGCAGGTCCTATTAGTGGCTTGAGCTGTTTTGGCCCAGAAACCACCAAACCCAGCTCAAACTCTTTTGAGTCTCATCTGAAAACTATTAGTGAGCAGGAAGGCGCTTCTCAGGGCTGCGGGAGCCTCTGCAGAGGGAGGCGAGGAGGCAAAGGGAGCCAGGGCACCCTTCCCAGTGGGGTCAATGCACAACCAAGCACGGCACGAAGCCACGGCTGCTCCGACCGCTGGTCGTACTCTGCGAGAGGCACTAACGTTGGTGATCTGCAGTATTTCAAAATAACCCTTTCGGGCCAGCAACATGTTACAGTTCACATCAGGTACAAGCCCCTCCTTTCCTCCCGCACATGCTACCACCCCTGCACGCTACCACAAAGTCTGAGATCGGTGCGAGTCCCCCGTGAGGATCCGGCTTCACCTCTCCGCAGCCAGGCTCTCCAGCCCAGCGCCACGCTGCGGGCTCCTTCCCTTGACAAAGAAGAAAAGCACAAAGAGGCCATGGCACATGAAACCTGTGCAGCAGCCAGGGCCTGTGCTAGTTGCCTGAGCTTGGGCAAGCGTCCCAGCTGGGCTGTCTTTGCCATGAATGAGCAGGCGCTGCCCTCGGGGAGGTAGGACACTTGCAGCCAGGCTCTGGCGGGTGGGGAACAGGATTGAGCCTGATCCGGGTCGCTGGAGAGCTTCTCCAGAGCTCCAAGAGCAACACCAGGCTGCAGGACTCATGGAGACACCCGGGGGACAGGGGGTGTTTGTGGGAGAAGCAGCACATCCCAGCACAGCTGCCGAGCGAGCTCCCACTGTGCCGGGACGGCAGCCGCAGGGAACTCACAGCAGAGCCCGCATTTCCCCAATCCAACCAGCCCCGGCCAGGAAAATATTACTTCATAATCCAGAATATAAAGAGAGATTTATGACCAGGCTCACTGCCTGCCCCTCGCCCCTCTGAACGCTGCCTGTCAGGGTCTGATGGAGCCGAGTCGGCAGTGCCAGGGGCACTGTCTGACTGCCAGGGGCCCGAGTGGCTGCTGCCTGCTGAGAAAGGCGCTGGCAGCTCCCGCTCCTCCTGGAGAGGACAGACCCCATAACGTACCCCAAGACAGCAGAGCCCAAACCCAGTGGGGTCGATGCTCCCCCACAGGCACCTCCCCAGCTTCCACCCGCAGATCCCTGCCCTGACTCCAGGTGCCTCAGACAAGCCGGTGCAGCCGAAGAGGCTGGAAGGACAAAACGCTAAGCCCTGACAAACTTGTTCAGTAGCTTTTAAAAACAGACCTGCATGGAGGGGTGGGAAGAGGAGAGAGCCACTGGGGAGCACCGAGTCTCTCCAAAGAGCAGGTCCCGCAGCTCCTGCTCCGTCGACTCCTTCCAGCCTCCTTCCCTGTGGTGGGAACACAGAGACGCAGCTCTGTGCCACCCTGCTCTCCACGTCCCAGCAGGTCACTGGGCACATGAAAAAAAATACAGATAACTTAGAGCCAGCCTGGTCCTGGAGCAGCCTCACCTGCCTTCCCCGCGCTCAGCCCACGTGAGGATTAAGTGCCTGTGAACGTGGGTGAGAAGCCCCCCGGGAAACCCAAATCCACATGGCTAATGCCGGCACCGTCCTCTCCAGGCAAACACTTGTCCTCTGTCCTGCCACGGATCCGGCAAGCAGCTTCCCAGGTTGAGCTGCGTGTGTGGGACAGCAGCCGCTGGTCAGGAAAGCTCCGCACCCCACAGAGAGGAGCTGACCGAATCGGCGTGTCTTTGGGGAGAGGGAACGCACACTTCCCAAAGCCCTGAAACAGCTCTTTGGAGGGAAGGCGAGTTGGGGAAAGCAGCGCCAAGAGCCCGGGACACGCACGAGCCTGTCGGCTGGAAGCACACCTCCGAGCCGGGGCTCTGCGTGCACAGGAGAGAGGGAGCAGCTTGCCAAAAGATTTCAGCTGGGCCCGGCTCCAGGTTCACTCGGCTCTCGGAGAGGAACCTCGTGTGTCTGCACTGGCGAGCACTTGCTTAGGCTGCTCTGAAAATCCCATGCATCAGACATCTAAATACCTTTGGTAAATCCATCTCAGCGCCCAGAAACAATCCCTCGATTCATTAACTGCTGTCAATACTTTCTTTGTTTAATACATCGGTTTGAAACAAAAAACACATTACAAGTCTTTTTGTGTGTGCCCAGCACATAAATAAAAGCATCTTAACGTTTTAAATGTGGTTCCTGTGCTTTTTAACCCAGTTCCAAATGCAGTTCAAAGTGCAGCTTGACTCGAAGCGAGACTGAGCGTTACTTTCCCTCCAGTGAAGCAAAAGAATGCATAAAAATATTTAAAAGAAGAATATGCTTACAACAATCTACACAGCTCAAATCTTTCCAAGTTACATCAGATCCTTAGCGAGCAAAAAACCACCAAATCAAGTTTTGAACTGCAAAACGCTACATGTTAATGGGTTACAAACAATGAAAATAAACCTTTCCTTTAATAAGAAGAGAAAATAGGACAATGCAACTAGGGACGGAAATAAAAACGGACACAGAACCGCCTGCCACATCGTGCCCTATCGTGACAACTGCTGCTGCATCGAGTCCTTCTGACCTACGCAGCCAGGGCAGCTCTGACCCCGTGCACGCCGTGAGTCATGCTGCGCCCACAAGCACCCGAACCACCGAGCAGCACTGGGGCGGAGAGGGTGAGAGTTTGGCAACCCCTGGTTTATAATTCGGGACAGACAGCACAGCAATCCCCTGCGCTCCCGGGCACCTTCCCAGGCCAGCTCCCTCCCTGGCCCGCCAAAGAGCCTGAATGATGACTCGCAAGGCTTGAGCCACAAGCGAGGCCGTGGCAGAGGTGGCAATGCCACGAGGAGCCGCGGGGGAACGAGCGGGGCGAGCCTGCAGGGACCTGGCACGGGCGGGAAGCGGAGCTGGACACGCTCCACCAGCTCCCCCCCGGGGAAGCGTCCCGAGGAGGGGGGGAGAGCCAGGGCCGCACCGGGGGCTCACGCTCCCGGGCTGGCGACGGCCACAGCGCTGCCAAACCAGCTGGTATTTCCCTCCGAAGAGGGAAAAGCAGCAGGGGAGCCGAGTTGTGCCGTGAGCCGTGCCCAAACCAGGCCTGCTGTCCTGAGAGTGACCACATTGCAGCAGAGGCACGGAGCAGCCGAGGCTGTTTTCACCTCTTTTCTCACCAAGAAATGCTTCCCACGCAGCCGGCAACAGAGCCCGAGGAGTAGCAGCGTCCTGCCCACGGCCACCAGCTGCCCTTTGCTGGGGATACAGAGCATTTGCTGCTCAGACTTACATTTCATTAAATATTTTGCTTTATTCACTGAAGCCCAAGGAAGTGAAGGAATATCTGAAACGTTTCACTGAAAAAGTAAATGTTATGGTTAGCAGGGACCTGAGGGGCCTAATAATCCCTGCCTTGGGATGACCGATACCGACCTCATTTTTGAGAGACAACTGGAGGTCTCAGCGACCCCCTCCTCAAAGGCTGGACAATCCGAGAGCGCCTCAGGCAACCTGCAGACCTACTCCAAGACCTCTCTTTCTGTCTGGAGGTTTCTCCTGACATCGGACTTTCTTGCTTCAGTTGAAGCCCTTCCTGTCTCACCCACCTCAGGGACTTTCTCCTCCTCATCACAAGAGCCTTTTGCTCGGCCGGAGACTTTTACACACCGGCACTGAGCAGAGAAGGACCAAGCGCCCTACACCAGCACCGTCCCTTTGCTCCAGGCTCCCTTTACACCAGCCCCCAAGCAGCAAGGACACGCTACTTCCATTTTAGGAGCACTCACGAGGCAGGGTTTAGGGGTTTTTTTTGTTTTTTTTTTTTTTTTCCAGAAATAAACCCAGGAACTGTATTTTGGCTACTTCCCTCAAAAATCACAGTTCTAAAAAAACTGAGTATGTAAAAAAAAATAAAATCCAACTGCTCTTGCTAACTCATCTGCTTAAAATCACATTCCCCCGGGTATTTGGAATTTATATGATGATTTATTAGCAGCTCTGCACAGCGCAGCAATCACATGAAGTAGCCTACAAGGTGAGCAGTAACCATGTTAGCAGGCCAACGTTATTTGGGTATTGATTGAGAGAGGCAAGACCTTCCAACTTGAGAAATCCACAGCCCCTTCCTCTGTTTGCTTTTTATCTTCTACTACTCGGTTACTTTAGCTCTAAGCTGCGGCTCCAGATATTCCCAGAGGAATTAAAAGAGCCCTCGATATTATAAATACTCTTTTTCATTGTAAACACACCCCAGCACTCGGAGCGAAGCGCCGGCGCTCTGACACGGCTCCAATCTGGCTCCGCAAACCACTCTGCTCCTCGCCGCATTCCAGCTGAGCCACGGTTTCTCTTCCAACCCGGAGCTTTTGTCCAGCGAGACCCAACTGCGGGCAGAAAGGATTTTCCTCCGTGCTTAAAACCTTGTTCTAGCGAATTAAAAACTGAGGGTTTGGGGCAGCGATCACCTTTAGGAGGACCGAAGCCTTGCCGTGAACCGCACGGGCAGATCAAAGCACGATCTGCCCACGTCAGAGAAGAGAGTCACCAAAGAAACCAAACCATCGCTTGGACTTTCCCACATCATGGAAGAGTGGATGACTAGAGCAGAGGCCAACCCAGCCTCGGGGACACACCAGCCCTTCGCATGTTAGGGAAGGGCGGGGGAATGGCCAGGAAAGCAGTGATTTAGGCTATATTTACTCAGCTGTCTCCATTCTCTGCTCTCACAGAGAAAGTCACAGGGCCAGTTCCCCAGTGGCTCTAAGAGCTGCTCGGGAAAGAAAAGCCGCGCATTAATGGGGAGGAGAGGCGGCCATTCCTCTGCCACGCCGGGCAGGGGTGCCGAAAGGCGCAATGCTGGTGCCACTCCAGCTCTCTCAGAGCTCATTTTAGACAGGTTTTACCCCCAGCTTTTATTTCCCATTGAACATGGACCCTCAATTTGGGAGGTATGTGACCATGGGAAGCTGCTTCTTCAAGGGGCTGAGAAACGTCCTCCGCATTAGAAAAGACACAGGGCACAAACCTCACTGGAAAGAGGTGGGCTGGCCACCGTCCCAGAGCCAGGGTTTGGGGGCAACTGTGTCTAGAAGCCAGCAAAGCCACGGTCACCCCGGGCCGGACTCCGGCACATCCAGAGGGACTGGCACATCCCTGGGCCATCCGGCCCCAGCCTGGGGTCTGCTGGGGCAGAACTGCAGTAAGGCCAAATCCTCAGCCCAGGCCGGAGCCGTGCAGCCCTGACAGGCCGCTTTTCTCCCGCCCTGCCACCCAGAGGGGAGCCCAGGGCCCCTGGCAATGGGGGCCGCACCCTGCCAAGGGGGGGTGTGTGTGTGTGTGTCCCCCTGCACTGGCACCACTGCAGGGGGAACGGCGCAGAGGCCCCCGTGCTGGCACTGCTGGGGATGGAGATAGCCTGGGGGGATCGGGGGGCACAGCCCTCGCAGCGGGTGGTGACGGGGACGGCCCTGGCACCACGCCG